AAAAAAAAAACATCCTCTTGAATGCACAGAATGTCAGAAGGCATATACAGTAAAACATTCTAACAGAATGTAGTGACCTTGCCCCAATAAATCAACAATTTTATGACATAACAAATCTAGAGAACTTTTTCAAGAAGATAAAAGTAGAGATTATCCAAGCCTACTTGAAGGAGGTTGGTCTATACCACAAATTATAGCACTAAATAACTCTGTTTTAGAGGCATAACTGGAGAGTGATGTAAACAATGACCCAAAGGATTGTTTACAAGCCATATATATATATATAACTTTTTGTCATTAAACAACTGACAGAGTTGACATGCCATTAAAACAGAATAATTGGCAAACATGGATAAACGTGCCTACAATAAGATGGAGTGTCAAAAGTGTGTCTTTCTTTTTCCCATGATCCTGTTTTTTTAACTATCTTCACACTTTGGCAATGTTTATTATTTTAAAAAGAAATGATTAGAATTTTAATAAAATCTAAACATATGATGAAAGTGAATTTATAGATATTTTTTGGTCTTGAGAATTTATAACAAAAACCCATAGAGCCTGATATGCCGCTAAACAAAATCAACCAAATCATTCTAGGAGAAAGGTATCATGGTCTCATATTTTCTCAGAAGGAAGAAGTTGTCCTATCAAAAAAACAAAATAGGACACACCTATATCACTCACTTATCCTCCCTAAAAAAAACAAAAAAAAACAACATCCTCCTGAATGATCAGCGTGTCAGGAGGCATATACGGTAAAACACATTCTAACAGATTGTAGTGACCCTTTCCTCTATACATCAATGATTTTATGACATGATTAGTCTAGAGGAGCTTTCTTCAAGAAGATAAAAGTAGAGATTATCCAAGCCTACTTGAAGGAGGTTGGTCTATACCATAAATTATAACACTAAATAACTTTAAAAGATATAACTGGAGGGGGGATGGAATCAATGACCCATGAAATGCCATTAACTCAGAACAATCAATCAAACTGGCTTTTTTCTAATTGTAAATATTATTTTTCTTTTATGGGCCATCTTTCATATCTTTCTTACTCTCCACAACTTCATATCATTTGTTGCTCTGATTAATGCTTGTCTTTTTGATATTCCTCACACACTCTGTGTTCTGCTATCTATTTACACAACAAACCAATCCATCCATTTTCCTTAAAACTTTATCTTTGTTCACATACTCCATCCCTGATATTCTCAGCATCCTTCTACAGAACCACATCTCTTACCTCATCTTCTCTTCATCTGTGAGGAAATTGCCTAGCATTTACAGCCATATAAGTAAATTGATATTAGCAGTTCAGAATTCTTTTCTTTGTTTCTAATAAAATTTTCATTTTCCTTTATATTTTGTTTAGTTTTTGAAAGGCATCTTTCATTATTCCAAAGCACCTTCATATTTCTGTGTCACATCATCTGTTAAAACACATCCCAGATAGCTAAATTTCTTGCATTATTTTGTCATGTCCACATCTTGAACTGCCTCTTTTGTTAATGTCTATATATTTTTGTCTTCTGACAGCTGATAGTTAATACTTTCTTACTTCTTTCCTTTATCATCTTGTCTAGGAGTTCCTACAGTTTTCTTTCTATGTCTGTCTTTAACATGACATCATCTTTCATATCTTATGCTGTTAAGATTGTGTCCATCAGTAATTCTGATAGGACTTCCCTTCGGATCACCTTGCTGTACAGGTTAAACACTTGCCATGAGCAGATAAAACCTTGTCTTATGCCCCCTTTCTATTTTTGTGTACGTTCTCAATTCATTTTCCATCCATAACCAGGCTGTTTGCTGCTATTAAGTATTCTGGATTATTCTAATAACTTTCTTTCATAGATCAGTTTGGTTACTATGGAATACTTGTTGAATCGCATGATAAGTCAACAATTAGGAAATAGATATGCTTATGTTGTACATGGGTTTTGTTTGAATTTAAACTGGTGGATAAGACACTGATTGAAATGATGAATTGAACAAAATGACAGCAACAAGCAAAGAAACATGACAGTATTAATTAAATAACACTAAAACTTTGGCAGATAACAACTTTGTGAAAGATGATCATTTTTAAGAGATAGAAGAAGAAAGCAGGAAGAAACAAAAATAAACTTAAATTTTCATGATATAAAATGATTTAAAATTAAAATTATATTTACATATATAATAATTTCAATCAAGTACAATAATTTATCTGGAAAGAGTTTTAAAAATCAATGTAAAATGTGACAGAAATCTGAAGGTGCATTAAAATAGTAAAAAATGCCTTCTAAAAGCTAAACAAAGAAACAGGAAAATTTTGTTATAAACAAAGAAAAGAGTATTCAACTGCTATATAATATCAATCCTCCTATATGTCCATCAATGCTGAGCAATTTCCTCACAGATGAAGAGAAGACTTTAGGTAACACAGATGTAGTTCTCCAGGGTCAAGCTGAAAATACCATGTTTCTTTTTCAGCATTAAATGACCATTGGGCCATTTAATGTCAAAAATTAATACTAGTAATTTTACTATAAAAACGTTTTTATATTTTCATAGTGTTTTGACCTTAATTTGACTGTAAACTAAATGCCCATGGCTGGGACCCTAACAGGTGCTACCACCCAGGTCAGGGTGGACCTGGGAATAACAGCAATTAAGAGGTGGTTCCGCACTCCTCAAAGCCTCCTGATCAGAGGTCTTGCTGCCAGGTTTAGTTTATCGTCATAACCGGGACAAAAAAATACCGTGGATGGAACATATGAGCTACAGGTAAGTTTTATGAAAAATGATAGTCATAGGACTAAAATTTCTGAGGCACATAATGAGGAAGGATGGTTAGGAGAACTTAACACACACAAGAATATATATTAAAGGTTAAAAAAGAGGAAAACAGAAAGCAGCATATCTAATGAGCTTGTGTAAATTTAGTAAATAAATGGATGGCAAAACAGGGAGTGGAACGCATAGTAAGAAGACAAACATCATTACTAAGAAGAGGTACAAAAAAAAGATAGAAAGTTGTAGAGAGCCATGAACCCATGTCGTAAAGTGAGACTGCACATAAAATATAAAATACAAAAATTGAAAAACGTATGAAAACAACAATAATATTTTGTAATTCTTAAAGATAGCAAAGAACAAAAAATTCATTGCATAAAAAAAAATAATGAATTTGAAATGCAATGATGGTTCTCTACTAATTTTGTAAACATTCATTTTCAAACAAGACTAATGGACCAATCAATGGTAATCAATCACAAACAATTCCTTGTATTCTATAAAATAAAATCTAACAAATCATAGATGACAGATGCCACTGAAAATAATTCCGTTAATAACAGAACAATTTGAAACAAAATAAAATATCTATCAATTTAAAGATGAAGACGTTTCAAATTTATCAGTTCTAATTCCTCATCTATCGTAAAAACAAGAGAGACTTTTTGGTAAGATTTTCATGTGTAAATGTGAAATTTTCATTTTAAAATTGAAAATAAAGTTATTAAATATATTTAAAAAATGTAATAAACCAATTTATATCCCGTGAAAACCAAGAATAACGTTCAAGTTTCAATGATATATTCGACTGGAGAAAACTTTTTTAGTCATAGGGTGTTAAAACAAATTTTAATATTGTTAAAAAATAATAGTTAAAAGTATAACTTGTTAATTATGTTGGTTTATTATTTTTCAAATTTAGTAAGTAATGATTTCAATGTTTTTGATAAAATAAAAAAGTTTTTTCAAAATGTTAGTCATTTTTTTTACGTTTTTACTTTTTTTAGAGTGTTTTTGTTTTCATTTCCGGTTTTATTAAATAATAATCCACAACAACAATATGGATCAATTACAAAATAAAACTATGTCTATTAAAGGAAAGTTTTTATTATTTAGAATAATAATTTCAAATTTTAATTACGTTAAACAAAAAAACAAGCGTTTTTTTTATGATCATATACAAAATTTTAAATATTGACATGAAAGAAAAATGCAACACATTTATTTACTTTATTTATTTTTTAAAAGTTTGTTGTTCTTTATTATTTTGCTAGGATGACAAACTTTAGAAAATATTTAAATAATAACTATAAAATACAAATTTATGAAAGGATTAAAAGAAAATAAAAAAATAAGAGTTTGAATGCAATTATTACGAAACAATTTGATTTTTTTTTAAATGATGTTTAAAATGAAGAATAAGAGAGTCAACATAGAAATGCCAAGAAAAAAACACGCTAAGTTTTTAAGGTGTATTTGAAATATGGGTAAAACAAATAATAATTAAATGTACAAAATTTATGATGAACTGAAAAAGGATAATTTATTTATTAACAATCTGCTACAAAAGTACTAAACAAAACAAAAACAGAATAATTATTTGATTAAAAGAAAAAATAAGGCCATCATCCAGTTTTGTCGTTCAATTATTTTTTTTTAACTCTACGAATTTAAAAAATACTTGAAATAAATGAATTTATTTATTTTTTAAGTATTCACACAACAACGAATGGGAGAAATTATGAAATTTAAATTTATTTTCATTTTTTTAGAAATGATTTTGATTTTTTACTTTTTTTGAAGTCTTTAAAAAAATCCAAATCGAAAAAGTAAAACTTTATTATTTTGCATTTCTCGAATATTTATTTTAAAGTATTATTAATTAATGCAATGTTAACATTTTAATTACTTTCAGTAAAAAAAAACATTTTTATGTCTTTTTTTTTCTTTTTTTTATTAAATAATAAAAAAGCGGACAGGAACAAAGCATTACTTTTCTATTAGTTTTTTATTTAAACTCAAACCTTTTTTATGTTGTTTTTTATAATTCAAGCAACACATTAAAATAAAAGAATATAATATTTTGTTTTTTATGAAACAAAATCTTAAAGGTTAAAAAAAAAGGTTAAATAACTAACTTCATTTGAAAAAAAACACGATTTTCGAAAAGACAACTCATATTTAAAAAAGAACACGAGAGAATACAAACTGTTACTAACCCCCAAGCAAGGTAATTTGTTTTTGTTGTCTTTGGCCAGGCAAATTCACCAAAAATAACCTGATCACCTTTCTCAATAATTTCTTTTTTGTTGATATTATACGAACGAAGAATGCTGAGTACGTCAGCCATGGTGTTTTTTCCTTTTTCTTAGAATTAACTCCAACTGATGTCGTGATAACTGCCTCGTATCAATACAGCAGCCACATGGAGTGACGGTAACTTACGATCAATACGCCCTCTACCGACAATGCGCGCTATACCCAAGATAGATAATTCATCTGTTTTTTTTTTTTTTTTTTTCTGGGGGTATCAGGCCTCTCTCTCTCAATATTAGCCAGCAACTTACTTATTATTCTCAGTAATCAAATAATTATCATTTAATTATATATATATATATATATATATATATATATATATATATATATATATATGTGTATTTAGACAGTAACCCCTCTTTTATACATATTTCATTAAAGACAACTGACAAGGTATTGTGATTGAGCTTTTTATTTAATTTTTCTTGTGGTCATATAATTGTTTTCTTTTCTGGACACAAAAACTGTCCAAATGTTCTGCATATCTGAATGCTTTTGGATATTCTTTTAGCCATTATCAAGGATGATTTTGATTTTTAACTAAATATGTGATATTTTTTTATGTATGTGTTTAAAGTTATAGGAATGTTTTATTTTTTGAACACTGCACATTGTGGCTGTGTTTTCTTTCTTCTCTCTCTCTCTCTCTCTCTATATATATATATATATATATATATATATATATATATATATATATATATATATATATATACTAGCCAATTACCTGTATCTTGCTGCATGTCACACATTTTTTTGTAAGGAAATGATGAATGATTTTAAACCATTGTTATAATTTGTGGAGAAAAATGATGCATTTCAATATTACTCAATGATCTTGCTGATATGACCTCCATCTTCTGGCTTTCTCCTATATTTTGAATAGGAGTCATTCCCTCCTTCAAATTTAAATTTAATTTAAATCAAAAGGAAAAATATTTCAGTGGAGGGTTTGTGCCCCTAGGGTTCCCGTTTGATCAAAATAAAATATACTTATGCAAGTACCCTGGGTAATGTAGTTTCAGAATATATATAGTTATGGAGGCCTATCTCCAAAACCCAAGGAGGAGTTTGATAACAAACAGACAGACCAACCGATGCGTTAAATTTATATATATATATATATATATATATATATAAAAGAGAGAGAGAGAGATTGTGTTTAATTAGTATTACTATGGCAACCTGCCAAGCAGCTAACAGGAAATTCATAGAAGTTTTCCAAGAAGTCTTAATGGAAATAGTTATCTGATACCCTGTGTGCTAGAGTTAGCAAAATGGATGTATGTTGGTTAATGAGAAAGAAAAAACACTTATAATTAAGTAGTACAATAAAAATATTTTTTATGCATCTAGAAAGATTTTTTATCACCTTTCTATGATCAAGAGTTAAGTTCAATAAAGTGAATACTAACTCATTATTTTTTTATTTTATTTTAATTATTTATTTTAAGTGTGCATACATGCATGCATGTGTGTGTGTGATAGTTGTTTTTTTTTTGGGGGGGGGAGCCTATCCATTTGTGCATAAATGTTGATCCCAGAGAAATTTTGCCTTAGGAAAACTAGAATACTTCAAGAAAAAGCTGAAAAAATTCTGCAATGGTTTCAAGCCTTTCTGATTACTAAGAACATTTTCCAGAGAAAAAAATAATCAGTTATACAGACATTTCATTGAATAAACTTGCTGTTTCAGAAAAGAGTTTTTTCATAGGTAAAGATTTTAGCATGGTTATGGTTCTAACCAAATTTGCTCTCGGATGAAATATTTGTAGTAATGTGTTGTACCATGATATTCATCCTAATCCTCATCATTATAAAAACAACCCTTCCACCACAAGAGAGTAGAGCAGAGACCAGTAGGGAAGATTAGGGTACCAATAGCAGTAGTGAGTGATGAGTAGACAAGTAGCAGTACAGAAACACATGTCTAGACAGCACTCCACGAAGATCAAAAACTGACCATTTCCAAACGCCATCCTCACAAATGAAATTCTCAGAACCAAACCAAGTAAGCACTAACTTTTAAATAAAAGATACATTGAGAACATTTTTACACACTCCATACCAATATTCTGTAATTCACATCACAAAAAGAAAATACAAGTTCTTGTTATTCATGTCAACATGTTTTTTTTTTGTTGTTATTGTTGTATGTTTTATGCATTTTAATTTCATGCCATTAACATCAAACCTGTTATACCCAACTTAATATCAACCTCATTACAAGGGCATTTTCAAAATCAGACTGTGCTAGTGGTAGTAGTCATTTTAGAAATAGGTCAGTGTCAATCTACTGTTTTTCTTGGCCCTAAGAAGGACAGAAAATATCATTAGCAAATGACCTCTTAACTACTTCATGCATCATACATGGCTGGTTTCTTCATTTTTGTTCATCACTCTCACCATCCCTTCTTCTCATCTAAATCAGAGGTGTGAGCTTATATCCTCTTGACCAGGCTCCGAGACTCTAGCACAAACCTTGGTTTCACCTAAGATCAGAAGTCTCTTTGTGTTAATTTTTTTAATTGGCTAAAATTATTTTATTTTTCAGCATTCCTTTCTTTTTCATTTTTTTTTTTTTTTTATAATAGAAGCTTGTCTTATTTTGGCTGATTTATAGTCATAAATAAGTAGGCTCTGGTTCCACAAACATCCAGCGTTTTTCATCCAGGTTCAGTCTTTTCTTCTTCTTCTTCTTCCTCTTTTTATTTAATGGCTGCCTTCTCATTAGTTGAAAGTGAAGTATATAGACAGAAGTTTAGAAAGAGAGAGAAAGAAAGATATAAGGAAAGTGCAAAGGCCTTATTTTAATTTGGATTCTTTCTATTTTTGTTCATATATTTTGTTTTATTTTATTTTTATTGGGAATCACTACACCTTAAACATAACAAAATATACAAAACTATGTCCACAAATTCAAAGACATTTCAATGCAGTTTTCTACATTTTCAAATTTTATGATCACCAAGCTTACTAGTAACCCCTTATGACCAAAGTTCTATTTTTATGTTTATTGCTATAATAAATGTTGACAACAGAAAATAATCATATATATATGATAAGTTACCCAACATCACCTGATGATGGAACAACTTTTAAGTTCCGAAACATAGAAATTTTTGTGTAGCAATGTAAAATATTTTATAATAAAATTATTATTATAATACTTTGCTCTATGTTGTAAATAATATAGACAAGTTTTGTCTATTTAAGTAAATTCCTTTCATATTGTTGAATAAGCTTTTTAGTATTATCACTGAAACACGAAAGAAAATCACAATGTTGATTCATGTTTTTATTGTTAATCCTGTCTAAGCTTTCAGCTTACATAAGCCATCATTAGAGATTACAAGTACTTTACAATAAATTAAATAATAAATTAATATATATATATACATGAGGAAAATTCATCTATGATTTGTCTTCAGCCATTTCTAGTGGATTCATGAAAATTGACACATTGATTAATTTATCTTCACAAAGCTACCACCATTCTTTCATCTTTTGATGCGCTTGTGGAAACTTTCTTGTAGAAATTCACTGATTGAGACTGTATCCAAGATTATACTTATATAATCTATGTTCTCATTCTGGCAATTATAACTTCACAGAGAGGAAGAAATGGAAAACAGACAATGTCAGGTCAAGAGATGAGATGGCAATAGGAAGTATTTTATGGCCACAAGAACATGCTTTCATTAGTACAACATGGAATTTGTTTAGTAATGCATTACATTGCAAGATCTAGATAACTTTGCTAAACTTTCTATATTTATGGCTTCCTTTAATTTCTACAGCAATGTGGCATACTAACTTCTTGTTTTTGCTTGTGGTACATTTGTATAGGAAATACATAAGTATCATGCCATTTTGGTCACAAAAGACTGTGACAATTGGACACTTAACATTTTGGGTGGTAGAGAATCACCATGTCTCCACTAGTTTCACTGTGCCAAAGTCTATGAGCCAAAGTGAGGAATCTACAATTTATCCTATGTAATTATTAAGGCAAAGATTTCTTTTGGCTTTCCTGACACTTGACCAAAATTTCAAAGGATAAATTATATGCACTCTGCATGTTGCAACTTCATTTTAGAAGGCCTGTATAAATTCAGAAGGCCTATATAAATTCAGAAGATCTATATAAATTTGCAAAGTCTACATAAATGTAGAAGGTCTATATAAATTCAGAAGGCCTATATAAATTTAGAAGACTTTCATAAATGTAGAAGGCCTATATAAATTCAGAAGGCCTATATAAATTCAAAAGGCCTGTATAAATTTACAAGGCCTTTATAAATTTATAGTATAAATTAAATATTTATTCATTCATTTTTGAAATCATGATGAAAAACATAGCATATTCTGTGGACTTGAAAAGAAATTGATCAATGATCTAAAGAAAGCTTTGAGAAAATTCCCAGTTTGACATACCCCATCCCAACTAATTGTAAAATTGATCATTTCTGTCTGAATTTCTAGGATGAGGAGTTTTCCTTATTTAAACTATTTATATTCAGGTAATTGTCTTCATGTTTGTTGTTAGCACAAAAATTTGGCCATTGTGTTTTAAAGTGGGGTTTAAATTGTCTGTAGATGTTTATACATAGTTCCGTAAATTCAAAATATTTTTTCACCGTTCATTTTACTGCATTTCGCAGTGTTCCAGGGTCAAATTCAAATTCAAGAGGTTTTTTCCTATGCAAGGGAAGTAACTTTTGTGTTTATTTATTATCATTATCATTATATATTTTCTTTCATCTACAGACAATTTAAACCCCTGAAGATGGTCTCAGATGAGATTGAAAGTACTTAGGAAAATAAAAATTATTTGAAAGAAAATTTTGGAATTTTTCTTAATTATTTTCTACAGTCAACAAGAAATTAATTAGTAGTAGCAAAAGGATTAAAACTAAAATAAATAGACATAATATGTCTAAATTATTTAACTAAACCTGTTTGAATGAAAATATGCTGCCTAAATATATATATATATAGAGAGAGAGAGAGAGGGGGGGCATTCCCATCATGTTT